CCCCCCCCCCCCCCCCCAACGGGCAGCAGCAGCTGGCTCCACGTCGAAACGGTCGCTTTGAAACTGCTCGGGCCTGTGCGAAACCCGCCACCCCAAAAACCTGCAGTGTCTTGTGTCTGGACCTCTAGGCCCTGTCCGGTGGGGTGAAACGACATTGAAAAATCAACCCATCATTTTTCTAGGGGCGGCCAGGACCCGATAAACGTCCTGGGCCGCCCCAATTTTTTTTTTGATTTTTGCCCCAGAGGGCTCAATCCAGACATATTGTCCAAACACCGGACACCGGACTGTCTGGAACCCGGTCCGGACGTCCGGGCGGTTACCATGCAAAAATCAAAACAAAAATCAAAACAAAAATCAAAACAATCAGACTCGCATTCATTCACACTTCATACGTATGCAAACAGGTTGCGCAGCAAACTGGCGCCAGGCGCCCACTCAGAACTCAAGGATATAGTACCAAGAACGCATTCAGATACAAGTTCACTTCACATGGCTATGGCGGCACGTCGCCTGAACAACTCCCTGTTCGATACTCACTAGACACTGCTGTTCGCATACCGGATCACCCTGGATACCCCACACACCACACACTCTGAACACTCACACACACACACTGCACTTCACTACCAGCTATGGTGGCTATGGCCGCTTCTACTCTATCGCTATGGCTACCCTACTCTCCTTCAGCCCACTTCGACTTCGGGCGCCTCTGCAGACCACCTCGCACAAGTCACTATGGCAGCACTTCCGCATGGCTTCCGCAGGAATGAATGAATGGCTGGGCGCTGCCTCCTGATTTATACTTCTGTTGCTCGCTGGTCTGGCCCTTTTCCCTTGGCGCATTGTACACACAGTTCCATATGGTACTTGCTGGACTGGACTGGGACTGACAGGACCGTAATGCTGACCGCATGGGGTTGGACCGCAACCTCGCTGCAGTGGCATCCGCGCATGGCGTAGCGCGCATGCGCAGCGCATGGCGCAGCGCACAAATGCGCCACAAGTATGGTTTGAACCCATGACCTGTGTTTTGACAGTTGTTGTTGTCTGGTGTAGGTCGGTGTAGGGGTAGACCTGTCGGATAGGAGTCCTAGTGAGTTCTAGAAGTCGTAGCTGTAGCCTGTCCGAAGGGTCAAGGTTGTAGCTGCTACAGTCCTGAAAGGTCAAGGTCGTAGCTGCTACAGTACCGAAACGCCAAGTCTACAGACTTCCGGAAGTGGTCTTTCGGAGTAGGTCCACGTTTAGACAGAGGCAAGTGGGCAAGTGGGGGAGCCAACCTCAGTGCGTTGCGCGCACCGCGCGCATGGCGCATAGG